TCAAGCTTTTTTTCTTGTTGTGACACGCTCAAGGAGTCAATCTTGTTCATATATACACATTCACTGGCAAGCCTTCTTCACCTTTTGGTCACTTTCTTAACACACAGAAATGGGAGTTGGAGGCACACTGGAGTACTTGTCTGATCTAATGGGTAGTGGCTACCACCACAAGAAGAAGAAGAAGAAGAAGCAGTTCCAGACAGTGGAGCTAAAGGTGAGGATGGATTGTGATGGCTGTGAGCTTAAGGTCAAGAACGCCCTCTCTTCACTAAGTGGTGAGTTACATGAATTCTTGTCATCATCATCATCATCATCATCTATTATATATCTATTCATCTGTGTTACTTATTCAACATGAAGATGATTGAATGAAATGGTGACTGCAGGAGTGAAATCTGTGGAGATAAACCGTAAACAGCAGAAAGTGATAGTAACTGGGTATGTTGAACCAAACAAGGTGCTGAAGAAGGCCAAGTCAACTGGGAAGAAGGCTGAGATTTGGCCCTATGTGCCTTACAATCTGGTGGCACATCCATACGCAGTTCCTGCTTATGATAAGAAGGCTCCTCCTGGTTATGTGAGGAGAGTGGAGGTTCCTGCTAACACGGGAACAATCACAAGATATGAAGACCCATACATCACCATGTTCAGTGATGATAACCCAAATGCCTGCTCTATCATGTAGACAAAAAATCATGCCTTTTCGCACAGCATTGTAAATTTTCAAATTTTAATGCAGTGTTTTTGTCTTCTTTTTTTTTCTGGTCCATTTTCAAGTTCGTGCTTTTCTGGAGTGTTGACTTCTTTTTTTATAATTACATAAAAAGATGAGAAGAACGTTGCTGTGATAATTGTTTTCTTTTTTTTCTTCAGGGTTACAGATTGTACACCGCCGTACTTGTCTGGCTGTAGCATTGCAGTAGGTAGTTTGATATCGTTTTAGTTGATATAGCCTTCTTTCTCCCTGAAATGAAACTGGATTGGGAGTAAAAAGATCAAAACAACCATATCATGGTGAATAAAAGTAATGTCTGCTTTTAATTTAATTTTTACATTTTACTGTTTGCGTGGAAGGGACCAATAGAAAAGTTGAAAATACGGAAAGGGCTGTTAAAATTGGCGCCTTAGTTCGTCTCCTTATAAAGTAAAAGATTTTACTCACTCGGTTTCATCTATGTTTTTAAAATGGGTGTAATTTTTTTTTTCTAACTTATCATGATACTAACATGCAAATTTTAACCTAATTAAAAGTAAAAATAAAAAAATACCTGTCCTTATAAACAATTAAAATTTTATTCCAAAAATAATTATAATATTAAATGCTTTATGTACATATAATTTTTCATAAGTCATATATATATATATATATAGATAGATATATTATAAGTTAACTCATCAATAACTGGATTAATCTGGTCTTGATGCATACGAGTTATTGGATGAAATGAATTAAACTATTTTTTTCTATTAAGGTTATTTTAAAAAATATTATTCGACTTTATTTATAAATTAAAAAGTCAAAATCTAATCTATTTTGACATCTCTAAATATAAATGAAATACGGATAGAAAGTAGAAATAAATAAATAATTATATACAGAGAAAGAAAAAAAATGTAAATATTAAATATTTCATATACCTTTGAATTGTGATATTTGTAGTCTAGTTTTGATTAAATGATGTTTTAAGTTTATATTTTTAATATATCTCATATTAATTACTTTTTGTTAGTTTTGAAGGTATTGGTTAAATAATCTCGTTAAATTATAAAATATGTAGGAGCTTTTATGAGCATTAAGTATTTTAGGTCTAAACTGTTTCAAATTTTGAAGCTAAGTTTTTCTCTTTAAAAGGAAAACATGAAGTATTATGTGAGGTATATATTTATGGGTAGCTTAAGTGAAGCTCGAGAGGAAATGATGAAGCATTATGTGAGCGCTTAAACTACTCATTTCTATGCAGTTTAAATCATACTTCAAGAACAAAAGAATAAAATTTTATGAAGTCTATTTTGAGCAAATTAAGCGTCTCTATTCACAAAATATCCTTAAAAAAATGTCTAATGACTATAAAACACTATTGAATTGTAATCTACTCAGTTGGATTACAGAGGAAGTATCTGCAAAATATTACTCTGATGCTCAAGTCAACAAAGAATATATGATACAATAAATATATGAAATTAATGAATAGTATTTATATTTGTACTACTTACACTGTTTTAAATGAGTCTTCTACTTAATTTAATGAGTCTATTAAAAAATCTCATATTTCTTCTATTTACAATTAACCATAATTACTTAACAATCTTTCACGATTTAGGATATTTAAACTTAATAATTATATCTCAGAACTTTATCAGCACAACTTTTGATTGAGAATTTTGGTGATTTGAAGGGAATAGCGTAGATTTTTATGTTAGAACAGAGTGAAAAGGAATTTAACATCTTTGAAACCCTCTTATTAAAACAAGTAATTTGATTTTACTAATTCAAGAAATTGATGGTGAAATCAAGAGGTTTAAGTTCTCTTAAGGGATTAAAGTTAGAATAATTTTGAGGATTGATAATAATTTGATTGGAGGAAAAATTCATTAATTATTTGTTAAGAAGTCTAATAAAATTAAATCATAAAGATCTTATTAATAAAACTTAAACTCATTTCACTACCTACATCAACATTTTGACAAAATTTTAAATTTCAAATCTCTTACTCATTTCATTAATTTTATGTTATTGTCTTCGATATTCGGTTACTTTATCATTTAACTTCTTGTAGTCTAAAAATCTATACTTTAATTGTCCCATTATGACACAAGTTTATAGATACATTTTTCTTTATTACTTTGTTAGATTCAGTGCTCTTGTCAATATTCTCAAACAAGCAAAGAAGAATATAGTTATAAAAGACTCCGAATTGCTTGTAGTTGCAGACAATAATAATTTTCGCTGTAGAAAACATTCACAATGGCATTTCATTTTTGCTCTGCCAACCCCGGACGTTGCTAGCTTCCTAGAGCATTTGGCCCCTCATATCACCAAAAAAGAAACTTTGACAGTCTGCATTGGAACTATTTTTAAAAAAGCATACAAAATTCAAACCAATTCCAAATACGCTTGGTTCCCAGAAGAAGCTGAAGCAAACAGGAACAATAATGTTCAAGGAAGGCATATCCTTTTCCTCTCAATCAACGTGAGGCAGGAATCAGCTTTACTTTTTCTGCTTTGGCTTTTTCTGTTTCCCTCACCCTTTACCTGATCCTCACAAAGTGTAAAGAAACATGCAACCTCGGGATGGTACAGAGAATTCAACATAATCATCATATTTGCAGATGAGTGTTTACACTATTCACTGGTGGAAATTACGGATACTGATATAAACATTTGTTAAGGTTGAAAGAATTCGTATTTGCTGTCCAATCTCAAAACTAATCAGTTACACCAACTGATGAGCACAAGAAGATAGGGGAGGTGTAAGTGTAACAAATTTTTTATTTAGCGCTACCAAATTCAATAGACAAATTTTAGATTTAAAATTTGCGCTGCTTGTATAAACATATAGAGATCTAATTACGTCAAACAAAAGCAAGAAATTTAACTGAGTTATGCTTTTGACCCAGTGATACACTAATATAAAGCCAGTCAGAGAGTTAGCTAGTGTGCCTGGGCAATTTGCCTCATAAGTTGGACTAGACAGTTGCACAATTTGCATTTGAAAAAAATTAAAATTTGGGATATCATTATTTAGATTAATAACCCCAAATGGATGATAAATCAAGTCAGAATAGAAATCAAATTGGAACATTTTTAACTACCAATCCCGTTTACCTTTATGATTCCCCCTTTGCATTTCACTGCTTAAGCATTAATAAATTTATTAGAGGTAAATTATTTTATGTATTACAGGTGACATTTATCGTATGAAGAATTAATAAATTTCTATCATTCAGAGAGCAGTATTGAAAAATTACATATACATAAAGGTACACATTTTGCTCGCATGTCGTGTACAGAAGTAACATGAACTATCTAATAGACATCCCCAGGAAGGATTGCTCATTACTTTCAATAGGGATATCCATGTCAATCATGTACAACTCCACCAACCAGGAACAGTTACTTAAGGTGGCTAGAATCAGGAAGGAGATTCGAAACACGTTGATCCATATTGCTCTAAACCATCAGAAATTAGAAATATACCTATTTTAGATAAACAAGGTCAGAGATGAAAGGAAAGCATAACAGTAAATAGCACAGTTACCACTTAGCATTAATAGCTTTAATTAAAGTTTTCCCCTTATTACTACAGGAGGATATATTAAATTTATTTAGCACAGGTCTGCTCCTACCTTCCATTTAGCATTAATAGCTTTAATTAAAGTTTTCCCCTTATACCACTCGGCCATTAATCATGCTGTAAATTTCAAACCTATTTGAAAAGTAAACTTAGTACACCACCTATATAATATGGTTTTATTGTATCGAAAGGGATGTCAACACATTTCAACAGAATCTTCACTCGAGAATCGAAATATTAACAAGCAGTCTATGTTTTAACTACGATTTACTTGAGCCATCAAATGTTAATGTTGCTTATTAGATATAATTAATATGAACCGAACAAAACTACTAAAGCTGGTGATTAATGTTTTATCATGCAGCTGCCTATTAGATATAATCAATACCAACCGATTAAAGTACTACAGCAGGTGATCCATGTTTTATCATGCAGTTGCATAAATACAAATGCATAAAATCTTCTTGGTTACATGGCCAAGAATCAAAGCTGTTGCTTACTATTTCGGTAACAAGGAAAGAAAACCAACAAGGTCTGGTGCCGACTGTCAAGCATACAGAAAGTAATCTGAACACAACAATGAGTGTTTGGCTACCATTTCAACTATCTATTTTAAGAACATAAAAATTCTAAGGAGATATGAAAACTCACCCCATCCATGTGTGGTTCATATACATATATGTATCTGATCAGTTTTGACTTCCTTCATTTTGATCTGTTCCCCGAATAAACCTCAACAAATTTAACATCATACAGAAGAGTGGCATTGGCGGGTATGTTGCAGTCACCTGTATATATATTGAATCAGTGACAACACGTGAAAATCTAACAAATTTAAAGACTCTAGGATTCTTCTGATAATAATCATACACTTCGTATATGCAGCTTTTTCTAAAAGACAAGTAATGAACTAGAAAATGCATGTCCCCTGTAATAGTTAAAAATAATCCGAAACAGGTAGACTTCGATTTTATTAAATGATATTAGATTTTCTTTTATAGATTAAGAGAGTTTCACGTGTTACAGGAGTAATGTAAAAGACTTATTCTTCATCTCACCATTATTTTTTCTTTAATCTAACTCATAATTTCTCCCATGTCTAGTGCATGTGATTAAATACAAAAGTAACAAAAATAGACAATGAATAATAATTTTAATAATTTTCCCTTCTCTCTACCGTTATTCTACCAGTGGAGTGAAATTTTTATGAGACGGAACCTGAGAAGCACCCCACAGGTTCAGGGCCATATGCTAAGTACGGAGGAATCTGCAGTTTGCGTTTCCCACCTGGATTAAAAGTGGTATTTTAGCAAGTTTTTAAAGAAACTAGCAAGTGACACGTGCCATGATCTAAGAATATTAAAAATGCTCCATTTAAAATTAAATAGAATTAATACCTATCCGCATTGGAGGTACTCCTTCACCCCCTGAAATTCCCTGATCCAGTCCCTTGATTACCTGGACACAGCAAAGTCTCTTAAAGGTACAAGATAGCAAAACTGTTACAAAATACGTTAGGATAAATAATAAATTGTATACCTTGCCAACACCAATGCGCATGGTGAGAGATCTACCACGTTTGTAGCTGCTATCAAACACTATCCCATCAGCGAATCTCGCAGTATAGTGAACCTGTTGCGCAGTGTAATGCATATCATTAATATTCATAATCATAACAACAGCGATAACTAACTAAATATTTTTATTGCGTGCAGAAATTGAGTGAGTAACTAACATTGATAAGCTCACCGATTGGAGCTTCGTCACCGAAGCCCTCGACAATATCACAGTAGCCGAGGCCAGACTTCACATACTTGTACTCACACAAAGGCTCTCCAACGGTGGCGTAGTATTCGATTCTAGTAGCGTCCGCGTCCAACGCCGTTAAACCCATCACCCAAGCTGTTACTAACCCAATACCCATTCCAACCAAAGGATTCTTATTATCACTGTGAACTGCAGAAGGCACCTTAGTAGGCGCTTTGCAACTCTTACCATTTGGTTTCCAGAAACACGAAGGAGCACAATAAGGAACGCGTACACCGGAACACAGTGAGAGTGCCATTTTCCTTTCTGTTTCACGTTATCTATTCAACTCTTTCTATGGCTCACTCCCAATATTAACGGTTAGATTTTTCATTCCTATTCTTGATTTTTTAAAGAAAAGAAAAATCTTAAATATCTTCTGTTCTGTCTAAAGATTTTATAAAAGAAAAAAAAAACTAAATAAACTCTATAATTTGTTTTCTGGGCTACAAAATGACATCTATTAGGCCTACAAAAATTATTTGGGCCACCAGATGGACCAAGGCGAATAATTTAAAAAGGAAAAAAAATTCAAGAACGTTTTAACCTTAAACAGTCACCCAACTAATAAGTACGTTTCCCAATATACCCCTAACGAACTTCTCAAACCGTCCACTCGCGCGCCCTCTTATAACCACCTCACTGGCTTCATTCCCGCTTGCACTCAATCTTGAATCGAATCATCGCTTCTTCAAAATATCTGCACAATGGAAAACTCCTTCTCCCTGCGATTCGCGCTTTTCTGCATCGCTTCTTTCGTTGCCATACTCTACGACACCAAGGTCGCCGCCGCCACCATTGCCACCAACGAAGAATTCGAAGCTTCCTTACCACCGTCCACGCCTCCACCAACTCCGCACAGTATCCAAGAACACTCGTTCTTCTCTCACACCGCGCTCCTCCCTCCAATCTTGTCTCACCTCGGCTTCCATGAGCTGGCAACAGCAGCGCCGTCGCTCTCGGACGCCGCAACCACGGCTTCCTCAGCCTGGGCCGGTCCTTCCACAATATTCGCTCCATCCGATGCCTCTCTCCGCACCTGCTTTTCTTGCTCCGTCCCGAACCTCCTCCGCGAACACATTGTTCCCGGCCTCTTCACCATCGATTATCTCCGGAAACTTGCTTTCGGCACCAAGATTGAGACCTTGAGTCCAGGCCGTTGCATCACCGTTACCTCCGAGACGCTCTATCGGAACACGAACACGAACACGAACATAAACAACACCGTGGCCGCCGCAAAGGTCTTCTTCTGATGTTAACTAATAGATTAATTTTCAGTAGAATTAGTTTTATTTTCTGTTCAGTATAATTAGTAAGATGTATTGTTTCCTCTTTCGCGAAGGTTTTCATTGGCGGTGTGGAGATCACGCAACCCGATCTCTTTAACAATGGCATGGTCGTTGTTCACGGTCTTCAAGGTTTCGTCTCTCCTCTATCTCCGTTCTCTTGCGACGTGGAGAGGATGACGTCGCTCTCATTTCCGTTCCATCCGGATCACCGTTCCGCTCACGGTCAGAATCACCTCCACTCTAACAACGCGGCGGCGCATCCTTCTATGATGCGCCTGATGCTCCGAGACGCGATGCTGAGGCTCCGCAACAACGGCTTCAGCATTCTCGCCCTGGCGATGAAGGTAAAATACGCGGAGCTCGTGATGCTCAACAACATGACCGTGTTTGCGGTCGACGACCTATCCATCTTCTCCGGTTCGCACGCGTACATCAGCAACGTCAGGTTCCACATCGTGCCGAACCATTATCTGTCGATTGCGGATCTCGAGAAGCTTCCGGTCGGGACTGCTCTACCGACGCTGGAACGAGGTCAGCCGCTGCTCATCACAACCTCAGGAGGAGGAGAGACGCCGGCCCCGATGAGGATTAACTACGTGAGAGTTAAGGCTGCGGATGTGATCCGCAACGTGAAGATCGTCGTGCATAGTGTGTATTTGCCGTTTCCGCATATCAATCCTGTGGCTGCTGCTTATGACACTATCATAGGCGGTGAAGAACAGATGCCGCAGGGAACCTGTTCTGCTCTTGATGGTCATGGAAGTTGCGTCACTGGTGTGCCTCCTATGCCTCAGGTCAAGGCAATGGTGGAGATCGAAGACCACCATGGCATGTGAATAATGCTATCTTGATATCGACGATGATCGATCTCTGTGTGAAGTGAAACTTGTAGTTAGTTCACTCTGTTACGATGTTAGTTCTCTTAGTTTGTGTATTCCTGTGAAATGTGGACGTTCTTTAGTTTGAGCCTGTGTTGCGTGTTTATAATCAAATTCAGTCGATATGGTTGACTATTGTTTTCCAATAAACACTTGTCAATTCAAACGTCACCAAATTTTCAGTGTGTAGCATGCATTGGGAAATTTTTTGTGTGTAAGCGCATAGGTTTTCCAGTGTGGTAGTCGTTTCTCTTGTGCTGAATTCACTCGTATCATGGTGCTTCTCCTTGCAATTGCTCTTCTAATTTATATATATATATATATATATATATATATATATATATATATATATATATATATATATATGTATGTATGTATGTATGTATGTATGTCAGTTGTCCTTAACATGGTCTGGTTAACGGATAATATATTGAATAACTAATTTGAAAAATAGACACAGATTAAAACACAAAAGCAATATACATTAAAACAAAAATTATAAATTTTCATTTAATTAAATATTTAATAATAATTGTCAATTTTGTTTTAGGGGTAGAAACTTTTTAAAGGATTTAACTGATTAATTTTAGTTCTATTCTACCAGACTACTACTTTTAAATAATGTTGAATAATATATCTTATGTGATAATGAATTTTAACATTATTACCTTAAAAGGTCGAAATGTTGATATTTTCTTCAAGACAAAAGATTATGAGCAGCTACTTTCCATTAAGAGAAGAAATAAAAAATATTTTTTATACATTTTCATCTCATAATCAATTAAAGCACCTCTTAATAATAAAATTGTGGTAGAGTCGAATATGTTGAATAAACTTAACAATATATTACCTTGAACTTGAGAAATAATAATAATATAAGATTTTTTACAATTTTATTTAAAACTTATTAGTGTGTCTATCTTTATTATATATTAATATAATTATTACATTTTATAGATTTACTATTTCAAAATATTTAGTCCAAATCAATTATTTCCAATTATTAATAAATTATTCCAAATCAATTCGTATCACATCCGTATAAGAAATAAAAAATATTTCTATTTCATCAACCAATGAGATAGGTGTATCTCATGTGTGAAGAAGAACAACAATGAAATGAAATACTTTGCAACTATGTAATGTTTAGGCTCGACAAGCCAAAAAATCTCCACGTACCAGGCATCACATCAAGCCAAAAAATCTCATCATTCATTTATGAATAACATAGAAATGAATGGCATTATAAGCATATATTCACCTTTGAGATAAAAAATTACCCATAGAGCAGCAACACAATGGATCCATCGATACATCAATAAGTATATTAAAGCATATGTGACTCAAAGTAGCGGTGCAATCCTTTATCGAGTATTTCCTGCAACACTCATAAGAGTGGTCTTACAATGATATACTCTTTTTTACCACAAAACTCCACATATTCCTTTTAAGACCCTATCTCAAAAGTAAAACACTTCATTTGCAACTTGACATCGACGGGTTTAGAAAATATTAAATAAGGGAACAATAAATATCTTTGTAAAATGAGAGGTTCAACATTGTATCACTTAATAAATTCATAATCTAAACCCATAGATTGTAATGCGTAGGATGAAGATAAGATTATGAACTAGGTCTTTTCTATATAGTTTGTACATCAATTTCCAAAAGATATGGACAAGTGGCTAACATGAGCCACTGGATACATACAGCTCAAAGAAAATATCAAACTAAGAAAGAAAGTAGAATAAACAAACATTTCTAAGTATGATTCATACGCATCATTAATGTTAGTAAATAAGTAGTAATTAACTTTTCAACCTTGAAATACTTGTTTTACCACTTCACTGGAGTCCATCAACAATGCTAATTGAACGATACATTGTGGTTTTCATCAAATACTAAGTAGAAAACTTAAGAATGTACAAGACTCTCACATATAATCAAAGATCTCATATAATATGAAGCTTCAGTTCATTTAATTCAAAACTAACATTGGGCAAGGTTGATGAGCCTATAGAGTTCAGAGCCAAGGATACCATGGAGGTTATCAAGGTTAAGGACATAATAATCATTAATACGAGAGTCAACCTCAAAATTACAAATGCAACAAGCCAACATGATGGACAACAAGTACCAAGAGTCATCAACATCATAATTGGTGATTTCATTTGCGATGGTGGTACGAGTTTAGTTAGAAAGAGTCATCCTGGACAATTCATAATAACAACTTCATTGAATCGAGCTCAAAAGTATTAACCTTTGAACAAATTACCAAGTCTAGTTGAATAATGTTTTTTAGAACACTACATCATAATAAACAATTATTTTTACATTTTTGCATTAGATAAATCATTGTTGCCATAATCTCAATTTGCAACTATAAGTAGGAATAATTACGTGACAAGAATATCAAAGACAAAAGAAAATAACTGAAAACACATAAAAAAACTAAAATAATTAATAGGCTCATGACAAAAAAACTTATTTTACATTGAAAATTGATAAATATATGTATCCTATCAATTTAGATTATAAAATACATCAAATTAAAAAAGACTTTCCATTAATGAATTGTCGTTTTTTTTTTGGATATGTCAACACCAAATTTTGTATTGGATTTTTTTTTTCACATTTTTTCTATTTTATTCTTATTAGAATCTTTCATTGGACATTATTTATCATTAGGCTTGTTAGATTACTTCTTAGATGAACATAATGGACTTTGATTTGATGTTTTCTTAATTTTTTATCTAATTTTTAATTTTCTATTTTTCTGAATTGGTGATGATTTTGATGAAAACAAATATTACAAACGATCCTTTAATTCTAATAGTATTCATAAAAGCATGTGCCCCTCCTCTCACGTAGGGTAGAGATTTCAGGTAGATTTTGATGATATTATTATGGCCCATTTTAATATGAACATATTGTGGGCTACATGGACTGCTCCGTTACTTATTTGAGCCCAAAGAGAGTATAATAGTGTTTTATGATGTATTTAAAAATAACAATGTGCCATTGAAAAAATGACAATAATGCGTAGAAAGATAAGCTCAAATGTAAATAAGAAAGGGATGTCTCATGGTGGTGGTTGTGGAGACGAAGAAATTTGTTTTTTATTTTATTTATAATTGTGAAAAAAAAATTTGACGAAAACAACTTATTTACTTTTTCAACCTAAGTTGAAGATAGATAATTCATAAATTCAAATTTTGAATATTTAATTTCAACTTGCTTCGTAGTTTCCTTTGAGATTAAGTAATGACTACGTATATGGTTGCGTTTCGTTGATGCTTCTTAGCTTGTAAAACAACTTCATTAATCATCAAATTAAATTATTAAAACACAGTAATCTTCAATTAATATTATGTTTTTGTTATATCCTTATCTTTAGAACTATTAAAATAAGGTAGGATTCCCTCAAAGAAATTACAATGCATGCGACCTGTATATATAAACTATTAAAACTTCCCCTTCGGGGTGAACGTTTTCACATCACAATACGTTACGTCTTATGATTTAACTCAAAACGTATATTAAAAAATTGCAGAATGACCAGAGATACCAGAGTCTTGAAAAGCTTCTGAGACGAATTTGTTGAACTTTTCAACCTCATTCACTAGTTGGTGTTTTTATACAATAAACAGTGAGTATTTCAATCTTTAATATTATAAACTTAAATGTGTGCATTGAAAAATTTAGAACTTCTCAACCGGTATAACCAAGGAACTTGAACAACTGCAATTTACAGCCTAAGGTACAATTTGCATAATGCAAAAACATTTGTTGTGTAAAAAAAATAAAAATACATGGCATGATAATTCTTTTAGACACATTAAAGAATTGAATAAAACCAAGTGCAAAAAACCAATATTTCACGAGAAACTGAAAAAGAAAGAGAGAAAAATAAAGTACGTTTAGTTATGGCCTATGAAAACCTTTCGTTTTACCACAACCCATGATGGAAGAAGGTAGCTTCCCAACCCTTTCTATTCCTTCTTCAAAAACCACTCCCATGCCCATGTAGAAGTGAGACTCTATGTGGCAATGGAAAGCCCACACGCCGGGGTTATCCGACCTGAACCTCAGCGCTGTCCAACCAAAGGGGTGCACCGGAACCGTGTTCTTCATAATGGGGTTCTCCAAATTATACTTTTTAGTATCATTCTTCACGTCAAACTTTCCTTTTCCGTACCCCAGAACCCAAAAATCGTGCCCGTGAAGGTGCCACGGATGCGTCTCGCTGTTGTTTGTGTTCATGGTGTTGGCGTTTTGAAGTATAACATCCACCGTTGTGTTGAACCTCAGCCTGTAAATGCCGTTGCTAGAAGTAGCATTCGCGTTTGGAGGTGGACTCCAAATGTCGTAGCTGGCAAAGTCATAGCCATCAGGGGGAGGAGTGGGGTCAAATGCGTTAGATACGTTCTCTCTGAGGGCAATGAGATAAGGGGTGTGAGGGAGTGTGAAAGAGACATTGTTCACAGACCAGCGTCTGTACTCGCTTATGTTGTTCTGTGTGTTGAGGAGTACTATGACTCTATCCGAGGTTGTGGGGGGTTTGTGAATGTACCCTTGGCGTGCCTTGATTGCGAGGCTTTGTGCCAGCCTTGGCTCAACGTCGTCCCATGCAGGAGGGGAAGGTGGAACCGTTGGAGGGGACCGTTTTGGGTGGTTGGGGTAGTAGTTGAAAATGGCCAACCCTGGTGGAGTCGTTCTGTTTCTGCTTACCACGTTTGAGGTGATCCAATAGTTCCTTGATGGATCTTGATCCGTTTTCACCAGAACTGAGTAGGTCTCACCAGAGTATATGAAGAGGTTTTTCACCACAAATGGCTCAACATAGTGACCATCTGCTTCAATCACTGTCATATTATGGCCCTGCATTGACAAGTCAAAAGTTATTATCAAGTGTCGAAGGAAAAACATGTTATTTGGATTCATGAAAATCCAAAGAAGAAGTTAATAACAAAATATATAAATTAAACTTTTATAGTATAAGTTAAATGAAAGAATTTGTATGAAAGTTTATTTATATGCAGAACCTTTTCTTACCTCTATTTGGAAACTAAGTGCGGATAAAGCAGTCAAGCTGCCAATTCTGAGTCGGTATGTTTTCCCAGGGATTACAGTTTGTATAAAGGGAGAACATTTTGACATGTCACAAACACCAGTACTTAAGCTTGGAGAGTTGGAGCAGTTGAATCTTCCTTTTCCATGAATCAGAAGTGACTGGAGGAACCAAAAATATACAAAGAATAAGACTAAAACCAACAGTTACACAATTTAAGAAAAAAATAAAAAAAAAGATGGTAGATTTTGTATTGAACAATTAATTTACCTGAGGTTCTCCCACCCATTGAAATGGAATTGAAGACAATCCAGAAGCCTGTTCATAAGTGCTCTGGTGGTACCAATCGTTCAGAATAATGCTTCTGTCGAAGTCATAGGTAAAGGGTTCAGGATCACGGGGTGCCACACGAATTAGTCCATATAACCCCGCTTCCCTTTGCATTCCATAGTGAGCATGGTAAAGATATGTACCAGGCTGTACCATAAAGGATGCAAGCAAATTAGATATTAAAAACAGTTTTGGTGTTATGCATGAAAGAATTGAACACCAAACAGAAGATAAGGAATTAAAATAATTACTCATGTGGGTAATATAGGTTACATTCGTATAACTTACCCTATCTACAACAAACTGATAAACAAATGAATCGCCAGGCAATATAGGACACTGAGTTACTCCTTCTGTTCCATCAAACCAAGGAGTTCCAATCTGCACATACAAACCAAACACATGAATAATCAAATCAATAAGCATATATGAGAAGTCTATAAGTAATCATGTAAGTCTATTTTATTTTGGTAAAATATTTTGGAGTAGAAAATTAAGCCCAACCTGTCTGATCCCATGCCAGTGGATGGAAAGGTTTTCTGTCAGCAAAGTGTTGTTAACCTGAACAATGACTGTGTCACCCTCCTCAGCCTGGATGGTGGGTCCTGGAGTTTTTGCATTGATTGTGATAACCAGCTTCTTAAAGCAATCGGGGGACCTAAACTCATACTTCACCTCCCATTTGTAATATCTGTTTCTGGCCTCGACATTGTGGAAATTCCCCAGAATAAGGAAGAAACACAGAATCAACAATGTTGGAATGGCCCTTGAGCTGAACTGAAGCTCAACCATGTCTAAGAAAGAGAGAATGGTAATTGAGTTATAGTTCAAAGAGATGATAACTTTGGTTATTGATTTATGTTCAAAGATTGTCTTTATATAACGATGATGAACTGAAATTTGATTATTTTTTATGTACATTTTATCGTTGATTCCGCCTTTTCAAACCAAGTTGGTGTGATCAAATTTTGATTTTTCTCACCGTGTTGACCATCGTTTAGCGAGCCTTACCCTGCCCCGAAGTTTCTTTGCCATTCACTTTTGTCATTTTGACCGTCTCTTGGTATTATATGGATGTCCATGTGATTCTAACCCATCTCAAACTTTATGATTAAATTATGTAGGAACCATGGGATTGCATATTGAATTCTTTAAAAGGGAATATATCAGTGAATTTCTTTTCTCGTTTATATACTTCCAATGCAATAATGGACTGAAGAGAGAGAGTATTGAGGGTATTGGGAAGTTACAATATATTTAATTATGTTAAGTGGGTGGTTAATTATATTGATAATTGAAACAGTCAAATATTTTATAATTAATTAATCATGCATACTCGTAGATAACTAATTAACCTAGTATTTAACTAATTATGCGTTAATATGAATTTTTTAGTTGAAAACTATATAGAGAAATCATAAAGGGAAGTTATATTAGTGAAATGTTAGAGAAGAGAGTGTGATGTATTGGATAGCGTAGATAAACAACTAAAGAAATCTCATTTGGGAAAGAACGCGTTTTCCACAGTCCACACACATGATATAATTTTATTTTTCTGAGTCAAGCACAAAAATTACTTTATATTAAAGAAAGTAATTAATTACGAACAATATAAAATGTTATTTTACACAGGTTGACTTAATCTCAGTCTGAAAAATTCTCAGTCAATGAAGCCAATGTGAAAATAATCAGAACGGAAGTTGTTTTAGACACAGCTTCAAACGATAACAAAGTATAGAAGGCAAATAATTACTTTAAAGAAAATAAGGATTTGTTTGTTTATTAACTTTTATAATATTTTTTTTATATTTGTATGCTTATTTTTTAAATTTTTTTTGTTTATCATTTTTTTAAAATATTTTTTAGCCTTTGAAAAATAAAAATTTTGTTTGATAATTATTTTGGTAATACGGTTTTAAATTTTTGTTTATTCTTTCGTGGTGACGTTGTGTTGTTTCATAAATAAGTTTTTTTTTAATTTATTTCTTAAAATAATTTTAAAATTGGTGTTTGAATTTATTTTTAGAAATTAAAAAATGAAAATAAAATAGTCTTAAATCTATGTAAGAAGTTGCTCAAGATGTTTTTAAGACCTAAATGAAAGAATAAGTCTTTTTTTAATTAATTTATTAAAATTATTATAATTTATTTTCTAGGTTTTTATGCAAAATTATGTATATAATTGTCGTTTTCAGTTAATATTTTATTTTGTTAAACACTAAAAACAATTCCTTAATTTTTGTTAAGACATTGTTATATTAAGTGAATTCTTTTTAATATTAGTTTTGAAAATTTTTACAATAACCGTTACCATTATTTTGTAAGTTGTGTATTTATAAATAAATAATTTATTTATATTGTATAATTAAAAAAATTAAAAATTTTCTAATTTTTTTAAAGATATTGAATTCTGAAAATAAATATGATTAGAATTTTTCAATGTTTAGGAATTTTTCCTTCAATGACTTCAATTTTCCCTACTAAATAAAAAATATCTTTATATATTTGAATTTCAAATATACTTTGGAGGCGGTAACTGTTTTATTTATAATGTATAAAAAGTAAAATGATTCTTTAAGATATTTATACCTTCATTCGCGGCACTTTTTATCGAATTTTTTCTTTTTATTAATACATATTTTCAGAAAATTTAGGCTTTATATTTATTTCAAACATAATTGTTTTAGAAATCAATGTATTTTCAAATCATTTTCTATCTATCTATATATATATATATATATATATATATATATATATATATATATAAATTTTACGTACATAATATGTCATACCAAATAATTATTTCTAACAAATATTTAAAAATTTTAAGCTTATAATATACTACTATACAATCAACCTCGTTTTTTAGATTATTTTAGAATTATCATTAATTTCAGCCAATTGTAATAAAATATATATGATATATAAAGTTTGAAACCTTATTACTTTCACACTTCCAAGTACAACTTATTCAAATTATTAAAATCTTAACTTATTTTTAAATAATATTATTTACTGGAAGAAAAATATTACTCATGTTACTTGTATTACAAATAAAATGTTAACAGTAACTTAAACTATTTTAAATAAAAATATTTTAAAATATAATATTAAAATTTTAAAGTATTCCAATACTAAAAATATAAAAGTGGAAGGAACCTAAACTTTTATGTGAAATACGGTAAAAGTTTGTGGATGCCATT